TTAGGGCTGGGTAGTAAAGGTTTGAGAACCATGTAGATGAGCTTAATTAACTATGCTTTGTATGTGTCATGTATGAGTGTGCACACAGGATATTTACTCATGCTTAGGTTGACACTGAGTGTCTTCTTTTATTGTGTTCCATCTTATTTCTTAAGACAGGGTCTCTCACTGAATCTAGAGCTTGCAGTTTTGACTAGGCTAGCTGGCCAAGGAGTCTCCAGAATCCATTTCCTCGGGCTTCACCCAGACACTGGCTGCCATGCTTGACTTTATACATGAGTGCTGGGGATCAGAACTCCAGTCTTCATACTTGGGCAGCAAGCCATATATACCCACTGTGCCAACTTCCCATGCCCTAGCTAAGTTTCTGTGTATTTATAAATCAGGCATAGCTAAATCTTCATGCACCTTGCAGAATCACAATGAAATACTAGACATTAAAATTTACATGATAATAACTTCTGTCTATGCTGCTATTATTTGATATTAACACTGAAACTAAATTTCAGAGATGAGGTTTTCTGCTAACCTCCAATTATGGCTTGAAGAATGGAATAAATATCTAGAAAGAAAACAAATACAGAACCCCACCTCGAAGGCTTGAAATGCCTAAGGTAAAGGTGGTATAGTAAGGAGACTTGCTAATTTTTACTTATTGAATGATTCTAGTTTTAAAACAAGTAAGAACATTTTGTCTTGTGTTTATAAAATCATTGTAACGATTTATAAAGAAAACTAGGCAATATTTAATTACAGACAAGTAAAAACATTGTAGCTAAGTATAACATTTGTTTTGTCTTTTTCTGTGTATGTTCATGATGTGTGGTGTGTGTGAGGACAAGTGTGTGTGGTATATGTGTGGAAGACAGAAACTTCAGGTGTCAGTCCTTATCACTTTTGTTGCTTCCATTGTGTGTATCAGGCCAGATGGCCCAAGAGCTGCCTCCACCTCCCAGCTCACTGTAGGAACACTGGAATTACACATTCACTCTACTGTGTCTAGCTTTAAATGGATTCTGGGGTTCAAACTCTGGCTTGGGTACCAAGTGTTTTACCTGCTGAGTCATCTCCCCAGCCCAGTATAAAATTTTCCCTGCTCATTGAAAATAAGATTCTTGTCTCATACAATATATCTTGATTACAGTTCCTCCCCCTCTACTCCTCCCAATTCCTCCCCATCTCCCTTCCCTTCCAGATGCATTCTCTTTTTGTCTCTCATTAGAAAAGAATAGGCTTCTAAGAGATAACAACAAACATGACAAAATAAAATATAGTAAGCTAAAACCATGACATTGAAGTTGGACAAGGCAACCCAACAGAAGGAAAAGAGCCCCAAGAGCAGGCACAAGAGTCAGAGACCCACTAGTTCACATGCTCAAAAATTGCATAAAAATATTAAACTGAAAGCTGTAATATAGACACAGAGGACCCTGTCAGTCCTGTTGGCCCTGTTTGCCCCATCAGCCCTATCATTGTGAGTTCATATAATCCTTACTCGGTTGATTCAGAGGGCCTTGTTCTCCTGGTTATCTCCCATCCCCTCTGGCTCTTACATTCCTTCTGTCTCATTTTCCTTAAGTTTCCCTGAGGTTGTAGGGAAGGGATTTGATAGAGACATCCTATTTAGAGTTGTGTATTCCAGTTGGGTGCACACCTCTAATCCCAGCACTCAGGAGGTAGAATCAAGTTCAAGGCCAGCCTGGTCTACAAAGAGAGTTCCAGGAAAGCCAGGACTGTTACACAGACAAATCCTGTCTCAATAAAATAAAAAGGAAAAGAAAAATAGAGCAACGTGTTCCAAGGTCTCTCTCTGTCTCTCTCCTCTCTCTCTCTCTCTCTCTCTCTCCTGGCTGTGGTGCTCTGTATTTGTTCCCAGCTGCTGCAGGAGGAAGCTTCTCTGATGATGGCTGAACAAGACACTAATCTATGAGTATAGCAGAATGTCATTAGGAGTTATTTTTGATACATTTTAGAAAGATATGTAATATTTGCTTTTACCCCGGGTCTCTGGGATACCTAGTCTCTGGGTCTAGCAATGTTGGTTATGGGTTCCATCTCCTGAAGTGGGCCTTATGTCAGATCAGACATTGGTCGGTTACTTTCACAAGTTTTGTGCCAACATCTCCCTAGCATATTCTGCAAGAAGAACAGCATTGTAGATCAAATGATTTGTGGTTGGGTTGGAGTTTTCATTTCTTTTTTGGTAGTCTGCAGAATACCTTCCCATACTGAAGACACTAGAACACAGGGATGAAGGTTCTATGTAGGTACCAGCTTGACCTCTCCTTGTTCACTGAGTTGTGTAGGTGTTGTCTTAAGCAATGGGGTCTTGCTGTCTGTTTGTGAAGAGCAACCTATAGTCTTAGCAAAAGTCTGGGTTATTTGGGAATTTCCATAAGATCCCTTTGAACAACAACTCAGAGCAACCTATAGTCTTAGCAAAAGTCTGGGTTATTTGGGAATTTCCATAAGATCCCTTTGAACAACTCAATTGGATGTAACTCAGTCTTTGTATTGGAAACTTCATTTGATGACAAAAGATGGCCAGTTGGGACTCCATCTCTCCCATTATTTGGAGATTCCATTAGGATCACCTTCATATATTTTAGAAAGTTTTCACTACACTATGTTTCCTTATTACCCACCCCTCAACTATAGCTGTCTCTCCCCCACAGACCCTCCCTCTCCCCACCTGATCCTTTCAATCCTTTACAAAGACCCCAAGTGGGAGGTACCCTTGAAGGAATTGGTACAGGAGATCACTTCATGAACATAACACACAGAGACTTATATTAGGTACAATGCTGCTAGCCAATCCCTAGTATTTTTTACTTGCTAGCTCAGTCTTAATTATCATCCATAATCATAAGACTTATCTTATGGGGATACCTCCGGCTGGCATCCTATTCTCAGGTCACATGGCGACTGCAGAGCAGAGAGCAGGAGGAAAAGAGAAAAGGAATGACTTCCTTCTTGTCCTTGCTTATATATGAGTCTACCTGCTATGCCACTTCCTGCCTGGATTGCAAGAGTTCTTTACTACATTTCTCAGAATCTTCCTGGACTCCTCCTCCCACCTAACTCCCTGCCTCATTGGCCAAACAGTATTTGTTTAACAATCTGGCTTTCAGAGTTTCCATGGAGAAGTCACGTGTAATTCTGATAGGTCTGCCTTTATATGTTACTTGGCCTTTTTCCTTTGCTTCTCTTAATATTCTTTCTTTATTCTGTATGTTTAGTGTTTTGATTATTATGTGGAGAAGTGACTTTTTTGTGATTCACTCTGTTTGGTGTTCTGTAAGCTTCTTGTACTTTCATTGGCATGTCTTTCTTTATATTGGGAAAGTTGAATTTTTTTCTGCACCTTTGAGTTGGGTTTCTTCACCTTCTTCTATGCCTGTTATTCTTAGATTTGGCCTTTTTCATGGTTCCTATATTTCTTGGATATTTTATGTTAGGAATTTGTTGGACTTAAGATTTTCTTTGGTCAATGAATCTATTTCTCCTAGTGTACCTTCAACGCCTGAGATTCTCTCTTACATCTCTTGTATTCTATTGGTTATGCTTGTTTCTGTAGTTCCTGACCATTTACCCAGCTTTTCTATTTCCAGCATTCCCTCAGACTGTGTGTGTTTTTCTGTTCGTTTGTTTGTATTTCAGCTTTCAAGCCTTTAACTGTTTGAATTGTTTCCTTCACTTGTTTGTTTTTTCATGGCTTTCCTTGTTTTCTTTAAGACATATACTTTATTTCTTGCATTTTTGGTTTGTATTTTCCTCCATTTCTTGAATTTTTTTGTTTGTTTTATCTTCCATTTCTATAAGGGATTTTCTCATTTCCTCTTTGAGAGTCTCTATCATCTTCATAAAGTTGTTCTTAAGGTCATTCTCTTCTGCTTCATCTGTGTTGGGATTCTCAGGTCTTCCTGGTGTAGAGTCCCTAGACTCTGGTGGTGTCACATTGGTCTTTTTGTTGTTGAATGTGTTCTTATTCGGTTGTCTCCCATCCCTTCTTCCAGTGGGTGCCTATGGGGTCTCTCCCTCTCCTGGTTGGTAATGGGTACAAGGTTCTCTTCTGGGGGGTACACACAGGTCCAATACTCAGATGTCTCTTCTCTTCTCGTGGGTGGAGGCAGGACTAGCACCGTGATGTATGCAGACTCTGGATTGCTTGATCCACTGGGACGGGTTCACCCATGGGCAGTCCCCAGGCCAGGAGAGTCCAAGAAGGGCAAGCGGAAGGCGCGCTATAAACAGGCCTAGGCTCACCCCTTCCTGTGTACAGAGGCGGGACTAGCACCACGATGTAGGCAGGTTTTGGATTCCTTGGTCCTACAGGATGGGTTCACCTCTGAGCAGTCCCCTGGCCAGGAGCAAATTCCCATCTTTCTGAGGTACCACCATATTGATTTCCTTAGTGGCCGTACAAGTTTGCACTCCCACTAGCATGGATGAATATTCCTCTTATTCCACATCCTCACCAGCATGAGCTATCAACTTTGTTATTGATCTTACATATTCTGACAGGTGTAAGATGAAATCTCAAAGTGGTTTTGATTTGCATTTCCCTGGTGGCTGAGGATGTTGAACATTTCTTTAGTATTTCTCAGCCATTTGAGTTTCCTCTGTTGTGAATTCTGTTTAGCTCTGTACCGTCATTTTTAAATTGGGTTATTTGGTTTTTAATATCTAATAGATTATATATACATATACACATACATACATACATACATACATACATACATACATACATTCATACATATATGATATCAGTCCTCTATCAGATGTAGAGTTAGTAAAAAAAAAAAAACTTTTCCCATTCTGAGGCTGTCTGAATGATGGTGTCTTTTGCTTTACAGAGTTTTTCGTTAAATGGAGTCCCATTTATTAATTGTTGATGTGAGTGCCTGTTTTGTTCATAATGTTTTCTCCTATGCCAACGCATTCAAGGTTATTCCCCATTTTCTCTCTATCAGTTTCAGTATAACATTTTTAAAGAAAAATTTCAATTACTTTGTTTTATTCCATTATTTAATCATGATTTTAGTAGCTGAAGGGGTATCTTCTCTATTAAACAGCAAACTATAGCTGCAAAGGTGCAATTCACTTTAAAACATTAGAAACTCCATGCAAATTTAATAGTACTGGGTACTTTTGTTGCATAGAATTTAACAAAAAAGACTCCCCATATTATGACAGTTTCATAGAAGAAATATTGAGAAATTGTTTTGTGGAAAAAGGAAGAGATAATAGCTGCAGCTGTAATTGGACTAAATTTACTACAGTGGACTGTTTCCAACTGTACATTCTCTCTTGCTAACAGATTATGGAACAAGAAACATAATTAACATAATTCCACACTCTCAGAAAGTTTTCATTTGAAGATTTCAGAGCCTGTAATAATGCTCCATCTGAGGGAACCAGCACTTTAATCCCATTTAGATGTTTTTCTCCTCATGTAATGATGTCCTTCACTATCAATAGCTTCATAGAGCTCCTTTTTGTTCTCTTGTGTTGCATGTAGATAACCAATATAAGCCACACAAAGTGAAAGGGTTACCAGTCCAAAAGCCATTACAGGTTTGTTCTGTCAAACAAAGAAAATTATGAAGTGTCAGTGAGATTAATAGTTTCAGCAGAGGCAAATATCACAATGCACTTCCCTCTTGGCATGACAAGTCATTATTACCACCCTAGCATTCTATGACTGACAGTATCTTCATTCCAATCATTTTATTCAATCAGCTTAACTCCCAAGTATTTACAGTTGATATGAGACTCTTGTTTCTCATCTCCTGTTTTCTCTTTGTAGCCTGGCTGGGCAGCTTACACCCCTGTCCTAGGAAAGAAAGAGCTGAGAGAGAGGGGAGTCATGGACACTGCTCTGGAGCTGTACCTTTTCCGAGGGGCAACTTAGTTTCGTTTATTAGAATGTGAGGAATACAGTACACATGCTATTTCTCCTGCCCAACACAAGGATAACTGCCACAAACTCTTCCATAACTTACATATATACAACAATGAAATATATATGCTCTTCTTTGGGAACAAATACTCAATAAATTTAGCACTTGAAACAAATACTATGCTGTTTTAATTACCTTGGGGCATCCCTGGAAAACCCAAGACTCTAAAAGCAAACTGATACAGCTTTGAATTAGGGGGCAGAAAGTTTTCAGAGAAGTACTTCTCTATTCTTTGCAATCCCTGTAAATATATTAACCACACATGCCCACCTTTGTGCATGTTTACACTTAATACATTGGCTTTCCCTTCAATAGCACACATGTACAATAGTAATACAAAGAGTAGTTTCTGATACCGCCTCCATGTCTCCATGTCTCCTACAGTAATTCCCCCATGCCTGTTATAGGACATTTGTACACTGAGTGAAGATGTATTTCTGTGATTGGTTTAATAAAGAGCTGAATGGCCAATAGCTAGGCAGGAGGTATAGGTGGGACTTCTGGGCAGAGAGAGGAAGTAGGAGGAGATATTCAAGGTGGAGAGAAGATACTAACAAGACATGGAGGGAGTCAGATATACAAAATGAAAGGTAAAATGACACAAGGTAAAATGTAGATTAATAAAGTTGGTTAATTTGAGTTATAAGAGCTAGTTAGGACAAGCCCAAGCTAAGGCCAAGCTTTCATAATTAATAATAAGTCTTCCTCTTGTTATTTGGGAGCTGGCTGGTGGGACAGAGAAAGGCTCATTACACATGCCCACGGACAGAGAAAGGCTCATTACACATGCCCACACAGGGTTAATTCTCAGTACAGCAGTGAACACCTAAAACCAGAGATTGCACCAGACCCACAGACAGTATACACTATGCTTTTCTCATAACAGTTGTCTATAGATTAGGTTTGGTTTATAACTAAACACAATGCACAATTAATGACAATAATAAAATACAACACTTATAGTAGCATTATAAATAATTATGTTATTTTTATCTTTCACCAAAACAAATATTATTATTTGGGGGATGTGGTTGACAGAGAAACTGGAAAGAGAAACACATAAGAGAAACTACTGTTCTGTTATGTTTTCAAAGCTTACTCTCAAAATTAGTGTCAAAGTTTTTCATCTGAATAAAAATCAACAAAGGTTATGAAATCAGAGCAGTTTAAATGTGCAATTATGAAATGTCTTCAACTATTAAAATTACATGGAAGCCAAGGATTTTTAAATACTTTAATTTAATGGCTTGATTAAGCTGACCCATATAACCTTAAAACAATTAACAATGACAACTTATTAAAATTCTAACCAAGCATGAAATATTTCAATATTTATCATATTTAAATTTTGTGTTTCTTTTTTATAAGTAGAATTTATATGTAAAAATAAAATTCATAAAATGAAATATATTCACTAGTTTACAACACCATCAGAAATAAGTTAGCTACCCACCTAACAGTATATAAATGCATGCTTTGGAGTTTTCTATATGAAACAGCATTTAAAACTTGCCTTTACCTTCTAAGACAGAGTCTCAGACTATAGCCCCAGATTGGCCTCAAACCCTGCTCATCCTCTATCCCTTCTCTCTCAAGGGATGGGGTTACAGGTGTGAGCCACCATTACCAGATTAGGGGGTCATCCTAGTCAGCATAAAATGTCCTTGATACAAACCAATGCTATACAAAAGTGAGCAAGTCTCCTTACAGGTTTAATGAAGAGCTCCGGATTTACAGCTCGAAACAAGGTTGTTGTGTGAGTCCCTCGGAGGCCTGGGCTTTCAAAGTTTCTCTCTTTTGGTGGTTCCTTCTTAACTGCTGGAGGCTCGGGTGCTGACGACATCTTGACTACTGAAGAATATCACCTAAAAACAATATATATTTTTTCCTTCGTATATGTTTATTGATAAACATATATATATATGCAGCCTTGGCTGGCCTAGAATGCCCAACATAGACCATGTTGATCTTGAAGTCAGAGAGACCTGTCTATCTCTGACTCAAGAATGGTGGGATTAAAGGTGTGCCCCATCAGGTTGGGCCCAAAGCTCTTAAAACAAACAAACAGCACACTCTTTTTAAATTCTAGATGTGCTCCAAGTGTGATCAAAGATTGATTTTTTAAAAATTGTGCTTTAGGTTTTGCTGGGTAAAGTGACCCTTCCCATTTGTTTTTATTCCTTCTCCTCCTCCTTCCCTTTCTCCTCTCCTCTCCTTCCTTTCTCAGGTATACAACTGAGTGCAGTTTAGAAAATGGTTTGTTGGTCTTGGTGACTTCCCTCTGCATTTCTGCTATGCTTTACTTTCACCACTAGCTCTTCCATAGTAGCCTGAGGGAAGTACTGCCACTCCTTTTTTAGTATCTCCTCCAACAGCTTCAGTCCAGCCCATATGCCTTCATCCTCTGTCATCCTCTAGGACCCTGAAGACCTCCCCTGTCCAAACAGTAAGAATAACTAGCCGTTTCTACTCATCCCCAGTCAGCAACTCTCCCTGAGGACAGGACTTATTTGTTCTTTAATATAAACACCCTTTTCTCAATCTAGTTAAGTCCAAATGTGTCTTTTTGTCTTCTGACTCTTCTACTCAGAGTACCAATGTTTTTTTTTTTTTCTTCCAGGTTTCATTCCTAACACATAATGCAGAGGAGGGAAAGAAATGCCCCACAGACTTGTTAATGACAACATAAGAGAAAGACAACAACCTCATGTACAGTGAATGTTATGAAGGGTTAGCATTCACATTTAGGCACTGGTGCTTTATACAAGTCATTAAGGCTTCTGTTTCACAGAAACGAAAGCAGTATTTTTGCAACTTTTCTGTTACAGAGAAAACTAGATGCTCCATACTTTTATCCAAGTGACCACTAAATATTCACTTTCAGCATTTAACTGATTAATTACTTTGTCAGGAGCATGGGCTTAGAAGGAAAGAATTTCCCATTTTTCTATACTTGCTAAGAAAAGGTTGTACCCTCACTCATTCTCCATGGTTATTATTGTCAAGTCTTCTCCCATCACTGCTGACTTTCTGGTTCCATTTTAGACCAGTGCAGGATTCACTAACTCTTAAAGAGTTTAATTGCTCACGTAACCAAAGTCTTTAGACCGGAACTTGTGACAGCAGTGACACAAACAACTGAGGGCCGGAGCTATTTAAACAAGTAATTAACTATATAGTGTTGTTCATCTAGATGCTGTGTGAAGCTCTCACAGGAACCATGCCTGCTTTCTATCATTTCATCACACAGGCCACGTTATAGACCACTGGCTCTCAGCAACCATGTGAGTGGGTTGCTGCATGCAGTAGCTGTTTTTTTTCTCCTCTAAAGTTTGAGTTTTCCTGTAAGTGGTTTCAAAAGTGAACTTCCATTGTGTGAATGAAACTTTGATTTGAAGTCTGCTATGAAAAAAAAATAGCAATAAGCTGCTGGTAGTGGCTTTAATCCTAGCACTCAGGAGGCCTGGGGGAAGGGGAGAGGGAGGGATAGGAGAAGGGAGAGGGGGTAAAGAGTTTAGGAAAAATACTCTATTTTCAAATATATTCTAGAAAGAATTGCTTCAAATGGACAAAACAACTTAATGACAGTGTAAAAACACTTGCTTAGTTTCACTTACTACACTCTCTCAGTGCTGAAGAAGGTACCTTCAAGTTTGGAGTAGGAACCTTAAAACAGTTTAAATTGCCTGGCAGTGGTGGCACATGCCTTTAATCCCAACTCGGGAGGCAGAGGACTGGTCTACAGAGTGAGTTCCAGGTCATCCAGAGCTGGATAGAGAAAGAAACCCTGTCTCAAAAACCAATAATGATGATGATGATGATGATGATGATGATGATGATGATAACAATAATAAGTTTAAGAAATAATCAGAGGACTTTATGGCTTGAGGAATGCAAGCATAGACTTATCCTCAATTTTGGTACTTTTCTTTAAAAGGGTTGGCACTATTGATTGAAATATTATAGATGTGGACTTAACATTTTTATGGGAAAGGTTGACAAAATAGTGGTCATCCTACAGACCTAGTCTAACCTTCCTAGTCCCAAATGTTTTTTTCACTAGGACGGTAGAATAATCCAGTTCTTCCGATTTCATCCAACTCCTAATCCAGCACTTCACCATCTTTCTCAAAAAAATGATTTATTTTGCACTGATAAGTTAATACAAGGCACAAGACCCATAAGATTTGCGATCACTTAAATTTAAAAAATGAACTCTATCCGTTTTTACTGTAAAACATAACTTTAAAAAGAAAAACAAGATAGCAGAAAATCCTTTCCATCCCGCGATTTCCCCCACGTGCTTTAAGGAAAGGTTTTGTCACTGTGTCGGCCAATCTGTAAAGCTTTGCAGACCCTGGTCGGGATGTGTAGGCTCCTATGGAGGCCTCGGGTCAGTCTGGTCGGTCCCTCAAGGCTGTAATCCACCCAGAGTTCCCGGTGGAAAACTAAAAACCAGGTGCATCAGAAGCCTCCAGAAGTAACTATGGTCAATTAAGTTTGTATCTTCGGCTGTCAGCAACCTGCTGTAGCATCGCGTGCAAACCACAGCACACGCCTGCGAGAGCCCGCAGAGCCTGACCTTGGGCACTCTCGAAGACAGCGAGGCTCCAGCGTGGACACCTATGCCGGGCAGCTGTGCTCCAAGTCTCCCCACTTCCGTGCTGTCGCCGGTCGCCGGTCACCGCAGAACGCAGAACCCACCTTCCGCCCGGCCCTCCCCGGGCACTCCCTCTGCTGCCCGCCGCAGGGAAAGGCCGCACTACAGCGCCACCTATACCCGGGAGGCCGCAGAGCAGGGCCCGGGCCCTGGAATCCCTGGGTGCAGGATGGAATTTGCTTTCTTGGGGCCTTTGACTTTCAGCCTCTCACATTCAAATAATCTTTTGTTCTGTGTGTTTTCTATATATTTATAGGAGGAGATATCTAGAAATACGCATTTAATGGGTGTGGAAAGTGTATGGCTTAATGAGAGCACCTAGAGCTGCTGAAGCAGAAAGGCAAAGCCTTATTCAGGATAGAGCTGGCTTGTGATCCCAAAAGAAGGGAAGGCAACACCGTCTAAAAGGAGTCTGGGGTTTTATAAGGTGCTTTTAGTTGGGCAGAGATGTGGTGGGATTTCGGTGTTACATCAATACTATGTGGTTTTGGTTACTATAGCTCAGGAGTACAGCTTGAAACCAGTCCAGTTACTTGTCCCTGGTGGGATTTCGGTGAGGGACAGGAACTGGACTGGAGTCAAGCTGTACTCCTGAGCTATAGTAATCAAAACCACAAAGTATCGATGTAAAACAGACACATTGATCAATGGACTCTAATCAAAGACCCAGACATAAATCCACATATCTATGGACACCTGATTTTTAACGAAGAAGCCAAATACAATGGAAAAAAGGAAGCATCTTCAACAAATGGTGCTGGTATAACTGGATGTCTGCATGTAGAAGAATGCAAATAGATCCATATCTACCACCCTGCACAAAACTAGAGTTCAAGTGAATCAAAGACCTCTATATAAAACCAGATAAACTGAGCCTGATAGAAAAGAAAGTAGAGAATGGACTTGAATGTATTGGCACAGGAAAAGACTTCCTGGACAGAACACCAATAGCACAGGCACTAAGATCAATAATAAACCAGACCCCATGAAACTGAAAAGCTTCTGTAAGACAAAGAACACCAATCAATAGGACAAATCAGAAGCCTGCAAAATGGGAAAAATATTTTCACCAACTCCATATCCAACAGAGGGCTAATATCCAAAATATATAAAGAACTCAAAAAACTAGACATCAACAAACCAAATAATCCAATTTGAATATTGGATACAGAGGATAGAGAAGTCTCAATAAAGGAATCTCAAATGGCTGAGAAACACTTAAAGAAATGTTCAATATCCTTAGCCATTGGTGAAATGCAAATCAAAATTACAGGTGTCATCTTACACCTGTCAGAGAGAAAAAAAAAAAAAAAAAAAAAAAAACTCAAGTGATTGCTCATGGTGGCAAGGATGTGGAAGCAAGAGGAACACTCCTCCCTTGATGGTGGGTAAACTTGTATAGCCACAATGGAAACCAATATGGCAGTTTCTCAGAAATTGGGAAATGATCTACCTGGACCACTCTTGGGCATTTACCCAAAGGATGTCCAATCATACCATGAGGATGTTTGCTCAACTATGTTCATAGCAGCTTTATTCTTAATAGCCAGAAACTGGAAAAAACCTAGATGTTCCTCAACCAAAGACTGAATAAATAAAATGTTGTTCTTTTACACAGTGGAGCATTATTCAGCATTTAAAAAGAAAAACATGAAATCTGCAAGCAAATAGATGGAACTAGAAAAAAAATCATCCTGAGTGAGGTAACCCAGATCCAGAAAGACAAACATGGTATGGACTCACTTATAAGTGGATATTCACTGTTATGTAAAGGAAAATCATGCGACAATCCACAGACTCAGGGAGAGAAAGTAACAGGAGGGATCAGGAGGGAGGTGGGTGATGGAGGCAAGAGTACTAGGAAAGATGACTGGAATTGGGGAGCATTTGGGGGACGATGTGGAAACCTACTGTCATGGAAACTCCATTGAATCGATCAGGGAGACTCTCACAAGTACCCCTTGTAATGGAGGATACAAAATCGGAACCAGCTATCTTCTGTAACCAGACAAAGCCTCAGTAATGCCACTGGGACACCAGCCTAGCCACAAAACCTTCCACCTATAATTTGCCCTACCTGAAAGATGTTCTGGTGTAATGGTGTCACAGACCTTGTGGGAGTGGCCAACCAATGACTGGTCTAACTTGAGGCCCATGTCACAGGAGGAAGCCTATGACTAAGAATTCCTGGAGGGCCAGGAACCAGAAACTGTATAGCCCAGAGACCCAGGACACAACCAAGCACACCTGATCACTCACCAAAAAAGCCAATGAAATGATTCCTCATGATATTCTGCTATACTTATAGACTGGATTCTAGCCCAATCATCATCAGAGAAGCTTCACCCAGCACCTGTTGGGAACAGATGCAGAGACCCAGAGCCAAACATCAGGCAGAGCTCAGGGAACCCCGCAGAAGATGGAGAGGAAGGATTATAGGAGCCAGAGGAGTTGAGGAAAACAGGAGAATGTGGCCTATAGAATCAAATAAGCAGGGCTCATAGGGGCTCACATGAGAGACTGAAGCGACAACCAGAGTCCGAGCTATGTCCTATGCATATATATTATGGTTGTTAGCTTGGTGTTCTTGTGGGAATTCCTAACAGTTGGAGTGGGGGTGTCTCTGACTCCTTTGCTCTTGGGACTCTTTTCCTCCTACTGGATTGTCTCATGCAGTCTTGATATGAGGGCCTACTCTTATTCTAACTTGTTTTGCTGTGTTTAGTTGATGAATCTGGGAGGCTTGTGAGGGGTGGACCTGGGGGAGAGGGGAGGTGAGAGGGAGGAATTGGGAGGAGTGGAGGGAGAGGAAACTGAGGCCAGGATGTATTGTATGAGAGAAAAGTAAATTTTAAAAAGAAAGAAAGGTGGGTGTCTAGGTCAGTCCAAGAAAAGGCAAAGATATTGGAAGAGAAGGCACTCTTGAAGTTTAGGAGAGAAAAATGAGATGTCCCTGAGGGGGTGGTAGAAAGGGGAGTATAGCTTGGGTACTATGGGGTGTAGAAGAACTTCTGCAGGGTGAATAAGTTGGATATCTTGAACCAAGTAGTAGGTTCCATTGGCTTTTTAAACTGAGAATTAGTGTGTTAAAGGGAGAAGCCATGAGCATGTGTTGGTTTGAATGGGTATGGCTTCTATGGCCTCGTGTTTAAATTCTTGACCCATAGAGAATGGTGCTATTAGGAGTTGAGGCCTTGGTGGAGGAAGTATGCCATTGTGCAGTGGGCTTTGAGGTCTCATTTATGTTCAAGCTATGCTCACTGTGACATGCAGTTCACTTCCTGTTGCCTGCAGATCCAGAGGTAGAACTCTCAGGGCCTCCTCTAGCACCATGTCTGCCTGCATGTGGCCGTGCTTCTTGCCATGATGATAATGAACTAAACCTCTGAAACTGTAAGCCAGCCCCAATTAAATGTTTTCCTTTGTAAGAGTTGTTGTGGTCATGGTGTCTCTTCATAGCAATGGAAATCAAAACTAAGACAGGGCACAAAAGGCCTTTCTTTAGAGATCAGAGACTAGAGGCTTAGGTCCCCTGAGACTTTGGAGAGATAGTGGGTAATGAGCCTGGGTAATGTAATTGGTAGGGTTTTGTAATTGGATGACAAGAGGGGAATGATGTTTGGCTATAGAGGGGTTTTGTGTACCCTATACTTGGGGATCCACCTGGGAGGCCAGTAAAGGGAAAGGTTTGTCTAGTTATGGTTTGCAGGAGAAGGAGGGAAATAGCCAGTGAGCCTGGCGTCAAACTAATTGGTGGAGTGTGGTAAATAGAGGCTCCCACGTTGGCTGGGAGGTCCTTCCCCAGCAAGAGAATGGGATGGATTGGTATCACTGGAAAGAAATGAGTAAGAAATATACCCCTAAAGATACAATTAAGCAGTGGGGTTTGGTGAGGTTGGTAATAAGGGACCCTGACAATAAGGGAACTGGAAGAAGAGGTGGATCCCCAAAATTCCATTAGGACTGAGTAAGTAGCCCTGGTATCCAGAGGAAATGTGATGGGTTGCCCTGATACCCTGATAAACACCTGTGGCTCCCTGTTGGAGACGGCAGTGGTGAAGCCATGGGAGCCTAGGCCCCCTCGGTTGTTCATGGCTAGCCTTAGGAGTTTGGCTGAAGGGCGATCTGGGTCTTATGTCCCCATGCCTTGAGGGCCACATGGGGCAGTAGACAGCCCAATGTTCCTCTTGATGACACCTTGGAAATGGCCAGTAGGGTTATCCCTGGCCAGTAGGGTTTGTCCTGAACAACCTCTTAAATTTTTTTCATAATTTATGGCTTTAAGAGCAGACTTATGGAGAAAGACCAGGAGGCAAGTTATAAATGGGTCTCTTTGCTAAAATTGTCCCTCACAACCCCCAGTAGTGTAGTTCTACTCCAGAACCTGGTTGGAACAACCTAAGCCTCAACTGGCTGGGCAGAATTAGTTTGGTGCCCTTGCCTGTTCCCAGATTCCCCTGAGCTCTTCTGGGAGAAGGTTGTTGATGAGAATTTTATAAATGTCCAAACTCATTTACAATTCTCTGGGAGGAGATTATGTATAAGAACCATGTAAACGTTATGGAAGATGAGGTTATAAGATTGAGTAATACATTGGAACTTCTTAATGAAGGTGGAGAAATTAGCAATATAGATGCTGTTTTTAAATCCTATTGTTTAGTAAGCCTTGTTTTTTATGATTTTTCCTCATTTGTTATTCTTATTCTCAGGACAAGAATCACCACACACACACAAGATATCCATCCCAATCCAAAATATCTTGGAGATCTACTTTTGCCTCTTTGATTAGCTGATAACATGTGGTCACCTTTAATTAAGATGGTAGTGAAATAACATGGCATCTATCATCTCCAACCCTAGCAAAGATGGCTGCCAAGCACATGGCTGCCTCAATCCAGATGGGATACAACAGCTAAGATGGCAGCAAACCACGTATTGATTATATCCCCAAATGGCATCACACCACATAGATCCTTTAATATTACCTATGTAAAGATTTTTAATTATCAACACCTAGTGTTGCAAATTTTAAGTTAACCCTTTTGGTACAGATTTTTAACCATACCCAATATACTTAGAATTTTTTTGTTGTTGTTTCTTATTTTATTTCTTAATTAGTTTCTAGCTCAATCACAGATCACAGTTCCCCTTCCTCTCCCTCTCATCTCAGTTCCTCCCCACAATCTCCCATTGTCTCTCTCTTTCTTTTCAGAAAAGGGCAGGCCTTCCATGTTTATCAGCCTGCCATGGCATATCAAGTTGCAGTAAGACTAGGTATCTCTTCTCCTATTAAGGCTGGATGAGGTAACCCAGTAGGAGGAAAGGGTCCCATAAGCAGGAAACAGAGTCAGAGACAGCTTATGCACTCACTGTTAGGAATCCCACAAGAAGACCAAGCTACACAACTGTAACATATGTGCAGAGGGCCTAGGTCAGTCCCTTGCAAACTCTCTGGTTGACAGTTCAGTCTCTGTGAGCCCCTACAAGCCCAGGTTAGTTGATTCTGTTGGTTTTCTTGTGGTATCCGTGACTCCTATGGCTCCCACAATCTTTCCTCTTCCTCTTCCACAGGATTCCTGAGCTCTGCATAATGTTTGGCTGTGGATCTCTGTATCCACTTACATAGGTTGCTGGATTAAGCCTCTCTGGTGACCATTGAGTCTAGGCAACAATCTATGAGTATAACAGAATATCATTAGGAGTCACTTCATTGACTTTTTTTGACAGTCATGTTTGGTTCTATTCTAGGTCCCTGGGATATACAGCCTCTGGATCTTGGCCCTTCAGGCAGTGTGCTCCCTCTTATGGTATAGGACTCAAGCTGGACCAGTCATTGGTTGGCACTCCCATAATTTATGTGCCACTTTTATCTCCAGCACATTTTGTAGGCAAGACAAATTGTAGGTTGAAGGTTTTGTGGCTGGTTTGGGGTCCCAGTCCCTCCACTGGAAGTCTTACCTGATTACAGAAGATAGCTAGTTCATGCTCCATATCCTCCATTGCTAAGAGTCTTAGCGAGGGTCACCCTCATAGATTCTTGGGAGTTTGCATTGCACTAGGTTTCTAGCTCATCCCTGAGATGCCCCCTGATTCCAATTGTCTCTCTCAGTACTCTCTCCCTCCATATTCCCCCCATTGATCCCTCCTGTTCCCATGCCCACCCCCCATCCAATGAGGTTCATGTGTCCCCACATGAGCTCTCCTTGTTCCTTGCTTCTTTGAGTCTGTGGATTGTAGCATATCCAGTTATAAGTGAATACACACCATGTTTGTCTTTCTGGGTCTGTGTTACCTCACTCAGTATGATTTTTTTTTCTAGTTCCATCCATTTGCCTGAAAATTTCGTGATGTCATTGTTTTTAACAGCTGAGTAATACTGCATTATGTAAGTGTAACACAATTTCTTTATTCATTCTTTAGCTGAGGGACATGTAGGTTGTTTCCAGTTTCTGGCTATTATGAATAAAGCTGCTATGAGCAAGTGTCCTTGTGGTATGGTAGATCGTCCTCTGGGTATATCCCCAGGAGTGGTAAAGCTGGGTCTTGAGGTAGGTCAATCCTCAATTTTCTGAGAAAATTCCATATTTATTTCCAAAGTGGCTATACAAGTTTGCACTCCCACCAGCAACAGAAAAGTGTTCCCCTTGCTCCACATCCTCACCAGCAGGAGCTGTCACTTGCATTTTTGATCTTAGCCATTCTGACAGATGTAAGATGGAATCTCAAAATTATTTTGATTTGCATTTCCCTGATGGCTAAGAATGTTAAACATTTCTTTAAGTGTTTCTCAGCTATTTGAGATTTCTCTGTTGAGAATTCTATGTTTAGATCTGTACCCCATTTTTAATTGGATTATTTGGTTTATTGATGTCTAGTTTTTTTAGTTCTTTATATGGTTTGGAAATCAGAGCTCTTTCAGATGTAGGGTTGGTGAAGAAAGTTTATGTAATAGTCTTATAAATCTTGAGATAAGATTCCTACCTTAGCAAAAGTTTTAGAGAGTTAAACCAAAATCAGAAAGTGCATGAAATGAGTAGCCATAATTCCTAATGGGAATAAGTCTATCCTTTTGTCCTGTTTTGCTCTTTTCTCTGTCACATCGTCAAGTAGCCTGCCTGACATGGGACAGAGATTTTGGAGAAAACCTTTGAACCAGCACACTTGGTTTGGGAGGAGGGAGCATACCCTAATTCCTGAGCCAGTTTTTATTGAAGTGGAGCAGCATAAAACAACAATTTAATACAACTCAAACATAAAGATACCCAGGTTCTTGTAAAGACTGAATCCAGTAAGCTGAAAACAAAGGAAGGTTTAGAGACAGGACATTTTTGATAGATATAGAAGATGCTACCTCTCTCTCTCTCTCACCTACTCTGACCCACTTCTGGCTCCCACATCTGCAACAGACTTACAGATCCACCAACAATAATTTAAAAAGGCAGTACATTCACATAGTAAGGGAAGGGCTGTGACCAGACAAAAAAACAAATAAGGCTTGGAGCTAAAATAAGAGAAATGGGGACCAGGACTAACAGCCTGACAAGACTCAGCACCTGGTACTAGTACTTTCGATAAACACGGAAGGCTTGTCAGAAGGCAATGAAAAACTGAGCTCAGGAATGAGATGTCATCCATGGGAAAGGGACAGAACAAGTTTACACACCATCATAAAAGTTATGAGGACATAGAGAAGCTGGAGATTACAGGCAGAAAATAAAGGGGGCAGGAAAGAGTTGCAGTAGCCTAATCAGACCTAAGGAAGCTGTAGAGTTGAGGCTCTGAGGATAATGGGGAATGGGGTCAGTGAACAGGGACAGATGTAGCCTGAAAGACCATGGTTGAGGAGTACCTCTCTGCCTCCAAGAGTACCAGAGGGGTGCTGGATGCTCAACAGTCACTTCATTGGACTCGGGAAAATGTTTAAACTGGCTGAAAGGGAAGCTTACAAAATTATTGCTGGTAGAGGGGATGCTGAGTAGTGATCCAGAAAGTGCATCTGTTGCAGGTGGACTGGGGATGAGGGATGGGATCCTGCCTGCAACCTAAGCCCTGAGGAGGAGCACAGATGCTAGGAGAGCCTATCCATCTCCTATGTAAGGGTTTTTCTGGTGCAAGGACATCTTGACGATCAGGAGCGAAGGAATAAAGTCACACCATGCAACAAAACTCACACAAGAGATTTATTGGGGAGAATAACTGAACCGTAGCTGGCTCTGAACAGGAAGAAACAGAGCAGAGGGCTGGGTGAATGGGAGGGCTGTTACGGGATTCTTGGAGCATGTGCAGTGAGCCAGTGGAAAAGTACAGCATGGCAAGTACATCCTTCAGCTGATATTGCTGAGTCACAGGGTGTGGACTTCCAAGCCTCAGGTACTCCAGGTTAAGCCAGGAGCAGGGTATTTTCCTTTACTTTGGTATTAGGCTTGGGGGTTGAGTATGGGCAGGGTGTTTTTCCCTTGTCACTGGTTCCTACAGTGGAGCCTTTGGAAAAAGGAGTTTTACCAGGTTTGGGGGGTGGTTAAAACATTTGGCTAAAAGTTTTACTAGGTGGAAGAGATAAAAAGATTTGATGTCCTTGTCATAAACAGAAGTTTTACCATAAAGACAAATATCTAAATGTTTCTTACAGTGGCACTGCTTGTGGAGGACATTGGCTTAAGAAATAGGGAAGTTTCTTTTCTATGTATCAATGGCATTGTTGTCAGGCATGCTGCAATCCTAGCACTTAAGAGGTCCAGGCAGGACGATCAGGAGTCCACGGTGATTCGAGTGTCATGATGAGTTCCAGACCAGCCAGGGTTATACAAGACCCTATCTCAAAACCAAGAAGACAAAACAGGGCAGAACAATCAGAGACTGTTGCCTCTATGTAAAGGGCAGAGTGCCTTGTGCACACAGATGAGCACTGGAGAATGCTAGGAAAGTTAAACACACAGCTCACATCTTCCATGGAATGAAGTGCAAAGCTGTTCTTCCTGGGACACTAGGAATGATGTCCTTGTACAACCTGGTGATCCTTAGCTATCTGATGACACAAGTTTTTCCCATAGCTCCCATAATTTATATTTTTACTTATCTAAGGCCTTTCCCCCTAAATCTTGAGCATTGCTTTTAGACCATAAAACACTCTCATGAGTGATGTCAATTGCCCTTTACAAAGCTAAAGTGACTTTTCTACATTATCTTAGGGCCAGGACAGTCTTGGCACCCATAAGCATTATGTTTACCTTGGATAAGCTCCCTATATCTCCCATATATCTCCTAAATCTTGGGCATTGTCTCTGAGTCAACAGTACCCATTGTTATAAAAGAAACCAGATGTACCTTGTAAGGAATCTCAAAGTAAACATGTCTTAAATTCTTGTGCACTTGGGACTCATTTAATTGTTATCAGAAAACTTATTTTTTTTTCAAAATTGTGAAGTGCTAAAATATGGTTAAAGTAAAATGGTCTGGGTCAGACTTTAGAAGTCCTGTTCCAGTGCTGGTTACAGTAAAATCGGGCTGAGCTGAATTTCATTCTTACCTCACTCTGGTCGGTTTTCCTTACCTGCTGTGAAGCTTGTAGGGGCATCGTCACATAGTTTCTCCTTGGAGGGCAGGAATGTATAGATTTAGCTCATTGTCTGAGGACTAGATAGCCAAGAGACCTAGGGTAAAAATCAAATACTACCAGTAAAAGCAAGCAAACAAACAACAGAAGAGCAATAAAATGATTCCTAATGATACTCTGCTATGCTCATCATCAGAGAGGTTTCCTCCAGCAGCCGACGGGAACAGATGCAGAGACCCACAGCCAGATATCATGTGGAGAGAGTCTAAACTGGAGGTCTCCATCAGATTTCTCCCTCAGAGCTCAGAAAATCCTGCAGAAGAGGAGGCAGAAAGATTGTAAGTGTCAGAGGGGGTGGAGGACACCAGGAGAACAAGCAGGGCTTGTATGAATTCCAGACCCTTTGTGTATGTATATGTTACAGCTATTAGCTTAGCACGTTTATGGGACTCCTGACTGTGTAATCGAGTGGGTCTCTGACTCCTGTGCCTGCTCTGAGGACTCATTTCCTCCTGTTGGGTTGCCAGGTCCAACTTTGTATGAAAGTTTTGCTTCATCTTATTGCATTTTGTTTTGTCATGTTTGGTTGTTATCTCTAATGAGAGACAGAAAGGGAGTGGATCCAGGGTGAGGGGAGGTGGGGAGGAACTAGGAGAGCTGAGAGAAGAGAAACTATAATCAGGATATATTGTATGAGAAAATAATCTGCTTTCAATTATAAAAAAGTCTGAAAATTCTAATTTTTAGCCCAATAAAGCTCCAGCAAAAGAGATAAAGCAACTGTTTCCCATGGCTACAATTTAAATACAAAGAGGTCTAATCATAAATCTTTATAGTAGGTGATCATTGTAAGAAATATGAAATATGAGTCTTTTCTATCAAATACTATAAAAGTTGTGTTTAGGACAAAGAATTAAAGTCTTTTATCTCTGCCACCTTGTACAATTTAATCAAATATTTTAATACTCCTTCACTTCCTATGTGCCAGTTCTTTCCAGATAAGCTAATTGAATAAGATTATGAAGTCAGACCCCTTCAGTGGGGGAAAGGCATACTCACTACCTGGGTTATAAGAAGAAGCAAATGCACTCCCCCACTTGGTCAAGAGTCAAGTTTACCTTCTACAGATACTTGGATTGCAGTGGTGATCTTTCTCTGCAACCTTGAACATGTGTCTAACATCATTGCATAGACAGTTGACTGGGTCAGTTTTATTGTAATACAATGGCATTTGTTCTGAGCAAAACTACCCTAGACTCACAAAGCACAGAGCCTTTTGGGAAGATTAGAACATTCATTTACTTTAAACTCTACCATTTCAGGACATTAAACAAGTAACTGAGCCACTGAGATGCATAAGGTTTAATAAAGTGATTTGGCATCCCTAAAAGAGTATTCAATAATGACTCCACTAAAAGAAATACACCCACTTCGAGCAACAAAAACCCCTGAAGGTCTCAATTTCAAACAAATAATAAAGACTTTTTGCTTCATCTTTGATGTTAGGCACTCCCACACCCCCGCCTTTTCTCTTCTTACTCCTTTCATTTGGAAACATGGACACTTTCTTTAAGTAATGTGGAAGTTGGTATAAGACAGATGGGCAAGGTTATTTATAGCGTAAATGTTTTTATTCGCAGCCAAGCTGTGAATGTGCCAAGTTAAATAAGGTAAGCTGGTGATAAGCTAAGCGCTTTTCTTGTAAGTAACAGCAGTTGTTACAAATTCACAGAGGAAAGATTAAAATCCAGAGAGCGAACGTCTCACAGGGAAAAGTGTGACCCTGGAGGAAGCTCGCTTTGTTTCTATTTTAGGTTTGCAAATCTTTACCATCCCCCAAGAAATGGGGAATTCTCTATCTCATCCATGGAGATTGTGTTTTTCACATTTTCTTCCAGGAGGTAGAGCACTGATGAGCAGACAGATAAAAGATGCTTTACTGTTCATTTACTATTTACTATTCATTTACATTTCATCACTCAAAACATCTGATGAAATAAGGGAAAGGGACACAGTAATATGCTGATAAAATTTAAATTCATCAAGATGAAAAGGATAGCAGGATTATGTTGTTCTTTTTTGTGTCATATTCTTGACATCTTTCTTACTAGTATATATTTGTTATACAAAGTAATATCCTCACTATTACATTTTCATATAGATTGAATTTATTTTCCATTTGTTTTAAGATAAAAGCTGGTACTGCAATTCCAGCCTCTGTCTTGCTGTATTAGTTACTTGTCTCACTGATTTTCTATATTAGCTGGTTGTCTTGTTTCTATGACAAAATACATTACAAAATCATCTTGAGGAAGTCAGGGTTTGCTTTGCTTCACAGTTTCAGAGTGTAGCTGACAATGATGGGGAAATCATGGTGGCGGGGGCTTGAAGGAACTGGTCACATTGTAGAGAAAATGAATGCTGGTAATCATTTCAATATTTCCTTTTTACACAAAGTCAAGGAACCCCAGCCCATGTCACCCACACTTAGGGTGGTCTTTCCATGTCAACTAACTTAATCTTTACATCCTTTACAGGTACACAGAGGCTCGCATCTGTGCTAACATCCTTTACAAGGTTCTGCCAGGCTGACAATCAGTGTTAATTGTCTTGCTTTCCCATCTCCATTGTTTTGTCTACTATCTTTTAAAATTAGTTAATTAATTTTGCCAAACCGATCACATTTCCCCCTCCCTCCCTCCTTTCCTCCCAACCCCTTCACCCAACCTCCCCTCTTCCTCCTCCATGACTATCAGCCAGCCATGGCATATCATGTTTTATCTATTCTTCCGGAATTTCATGTGACACATTTTAATCATATTCATTGTCCTCCTCCAACTCCTCCCAGATCTTCCCCTATATTTCTCTTTCTGAAACAACAAAACAATACAAACACATGAAGGGTAGTTTGTGTTGGCCACTGCTCCTGGGTATTGGGCCTGCCCTGGAGTGTGGTCAGTATGCCCAGGGTCATTCCACTGAACAAAACTTCCCTTCTCCCAGGATCTGTCAATTGTAAACAACTCCTCCGCTTGGGATAGGACTTCATGTCTACCCTACCTCTCCCATGCTGACATTTTGTCCAGCTTAGGCTTGTGAAAGTTTGCACATGCTGGCATGGGTCTCTGTAAACTTGTGTGTGCATCTGCCTTGCTGCGTCAGGGAAACACTGTTTCCTTAAAATCATCCACCACTTTTGGCTCTTACTATCTTTCTGCCTGCTCTTCCACATAGATCCATGAGGGGAGGGGTGTGGTATAGACTTACCATTTAGGGCTGGCCATTCCAGAATTTCTGTTTTAATGGCTTTCTGTTGCAAGAAGAAACTTCCCTGATGAAGGTAGAGTGATGCACTGCTCTCTATATAGGAATTGGCCATTGGGAGCGGTTTGATTGCAGACTAATAGTAATAGGTTTTTCATATAGCTTCAGGTTTTTGGCCTCACTGACATTGTCAGGTTTAGGTTCTCACTTGTACAGTGGGCCTGAAATCCAATAGAAATGGTTGATTACTTCCATCCATGCCACTATTGCATGAGTGGGCATATCTTGTTAGGTAGATCATTATTGTAGCTTAAATAGTTCATAGCTGGGTGAGACTGATGATTAATTTTCTCCTCTGGTAGTGTGTCTAACACCATCTGGCACTATGTACACTAGTCAGCAGCTATGAAACTACTATGAAGTGTACTACTGAAGTTGAGCATCAGCTAGATTACCCCATGTTTTATGGCATAAGTTTGTGGTGCATTCAACAATGGGGTCTTATCATCAATTCTAGAGAGTAACTAATAGCATTGACCTATAACATTTGAGAGTCTCTGGGACCCCACTGGCAAACAACTAAAAAAGATGATACCCATTTCTGGTACTGGATGTTTTATTTGATAGCATATGATATCTAGTTGGGGCATTACCCCCTTTATATGTTAATTTTATTTAAACTTTATGTTATTTCCCTTTCCTTGGAAGATCCTGTTTGCCCCATGGTCCCTTATTGTCTACCCAACCTCTATGGGTATGTCTAAGGCCTAAAAATTAATATCCACACATGAAAAGAAGCAAGTATTTCTAGGTCTGGGGTATCTCACTCATGATGGTTGTTTTCAGTTCTGTCCATTTACCTGCAAATTTCATAAAATCAGGAATGGTCATGACAGCTGAATAATAAATATCCCATTGTGTAAATGTACCACATTTTCATTATGCCATTATCAGTTGATAGACATCTAGGTTGTTTCCAATTTCTGGGTATTATGACTAGAGCAGCAATGAACATGGTTAAGAAAGTACCCCTGTGATAAAATGTGAAGTCCTTTGAGGATATGCCCAAGAGCAGTATATCTGGTAGATCTATTGTCAGCTTTTTGAGGAACCTATAGCCTGGTTTCCATAGGAGCTGTACCAGTTTACACTCCCATCAGCAGTTAATAAGTGTTCCCTTTTACCCACATCTTTTGCCATCTGCTGCCAATTTTTATTGATACTAGGCATTCTGGCTGGGATAAGATGAGATCCCAAAGTAGTTTTAAATTTGATCTTTCCTGATACCAAAGATCTTGGGTATTTTAAAAATGTTTTTCTGCTAGTTGTGTCTTAACTACTTTTCTATTGTTGTCAAGAGACATCATGACAAAGACAACTTATAGAAGGAAGAATTGGAAGTGGGGACTTTCTTACAGTTTCAGAGTGTGAGTCCATGACCATCATGGCAGATAACATGGCAGCAGTCAGGCAGGCATGGTGCCGGAGCAGTAGCTGAGCATTTATATGTTAGAAAACAACAGGAGGGGGGCAGAGACAGAGACAGAGACAAAGAGACAAGGACAGAGACGGAGAGACAGAAAACTAACTGGGATTTTGAAACCCCAAAGCCAAATCTCAGGGCCACACCTCCTCCAACAAAGCCACACTCTTCCAACAAGGCCATACCTCCTAATCTTTCCCAAAGAGTTCAACCAACTATAGACTAAGCATTCAAACATATGAGCCTATGGGAGCCATAAAACATTGAGGTTTTGTTTTGTTTAGTAATCTTCATATTCTAGATACTAGCCCTCTGTCAGATATTTAATGGGTAAAAATTTCAATCATTCTGTAGGCTGCTTCACTCAAATGATGGTGGCCTTGCTGTGCACAGATTTTAAAGGTTTCAAAAGGTTTTGTTTATCAATTGCTGGTTTTAATTCCTGTGCTATTGGGGTCCTGTTCAGAAAGCTCTTTCCTGCACCAATGAATTGAAGTACATTGACTACTTTCTCTTCTGTCAGAATCAGGGGATGAGGTCTTATGTTGGAGTCCTTGATGCATTTGGAGTTGAGTTATGTGTAGGGTGATGGATATGGATCTAGTTTCATTCTTCTACAGGTAGTTGTCCAATTTGACCAGCACCATTGTTGAAGATGCTGTTCTTTTTCCAATGTGTAATTTTGGTTTCTTTGTTAAAGAAAAATCACGTGTCCACAGGTATGGGGCCCATCTTTGGGTTTTCAACTCTATGCATTGCTCAACATGTCTATATTTATGAGAATACTATGCTATTTTTCATTACTGTAGCTTTGTAGTACAACTTAAAATCAGGAATAGTGAGATCTCCAGTAGTTATTTTATTGTTCGGGATTGTTTTAACTATCTTTTTTGTGTGTGCATTTTCATATGAATTTTAAGATTATTTTTTCAATTTCTGTTTAGAATTTTGTCAGAATTTTGATGGGAATTGCATTGAATCTGTACACTGACTCTGGTTGGATGGTCATATTCACAATAGAGAGCCTACCAGTCCATGAGCATGGGATGGCTTCCAAACTTCTGGTGTCTTCTTTAATTAAAAAATATATATTATACAGGTGTCTCACTTCCTTTGTTAGTTATTCCAAGATAGTTCTTTTAAAGGCTATTGTGAAAGGTATTAGTTTCCTAATGTCTTTCCTGGTATGTTGTTGGTAATAGTTCCCTTTGAGATTAAAACATTTCATCTTGGAGGAAAACTGCTTAAGACAGGATGTTTATAGGGAATGAAACAATGGGATGTTCTATGGGAGGTGAAATACTCCAGGGAAGCTCATTAAGAAACGAAATAAAACTCAAAATGACTTCAAAAAGTCCCTGAAACTACCAGACTCATTAGATCCCTTCCTCTCCAACAGTATACAAACAGTAAAGACTGCCAAGAGGAGACTCAGACAAGCCCGGTCACATGGAAGACGCAGAGACCCCGTCAGACTGTCTAGAAGACACAAAGACCAGCTGAGCTGACTAGAAGTTAAGGTCACCAGAGCCAACTGAAAGAATACTCTTCAACCTGTTAAGTTGACTCCGACCGTGTGCTCCAGGTTTCCAGCTATTGTGTTTCCTGCTTGTCTATTCCATGCCAGGGCAAACTTGGCAATGCTACTGTCTTTGCAACTCCTGTAAGTAACCCAATCAAGTTCATTAGTGCTATCTGTATGTTGGTTTGTCCTCAATTTTCTATCTGGGGTTTTTTCACACATCCCCAGGAATAGTGTCACACGTGTTTGTCGTTTGTATATAGGGAGGCTAACTTTTCATATTTATATTTTCTTGCATGTTATTAGCTGTAGAATTTCCTGGTGGAGTCTTTAGTGTCTTTTATGTATAAAAATCTTATCATCTGTAAATAAGGATACTTTGACTTCTTCCCTTCCTATTTGTATCCCCTTGATCTTTTTTATTTGTCTTACTGGTTTAGGTAAGACTTCAAGAACTATATTTCAACAGGTCTGGAAATAGTGGACCACTTTGTCTTGTTCCCAATTGCTCCCCTCATTCCAAACCCTACCCAATCTCAGAAAGTAAGGGAATTGGCTCCTCCCCAAGAGATGCTCAAGACCACTCCTGCAGGTTAAGATGTTGTCTCCAGACCTGCCAGGTGGTTTTCTGGTTCCTTCTCCTTGTCTCCTCTATGGGGGTGAGAAGAACATCCAGGAGAATTTTACTCATTAAACGTGGACTTTTAATTCTTAATTCAACTTGGTTTGGTTTGCTGGGTCAGCAGAAAGACTTACTATCAGGGTACAGAAATCTTTCATCTTGTGTGTTGGCTGGGAGGAGTTGACTGCCTTAGTTGGCGCCCATTGGTTTTTGGTATGATGTGTTTTAATTTTTGTTCAATTCTGGGAAGTTTAAAATTTTCCTCCTTGATTTGTATTTGACCCAATTTTCATTCCATGGTGTGCTATTCAGCTTCCATGAGATTGTTTATTTTCTGCTGTTTCTTTTGTCAATAAAACCAGATATTTAATTCACAGTTATCAAACAGGAAGCAGGATGTTATTTTAATTTTCCTATATTGAGACTTGCTTTGTGTTGCATAATATGGGTCAGTTTTAAGGAAAGCTTCATAGACAGCTTAGAAGAATATGTCTTCTATAGTGTTTGGGTAGAATGTAATGTAAACACCTGTTTGGTCCATTAGATTCATGATATTATTTAATTCCAGAGTATCTATTTACTTGTTATCAGGATGATGTGTCTATTGGTGAACATAGGGTATTAAAGTACTCCATTATCATTGTATTAGGGTTTATATGTGTTTTAGATGTAATAGAGTTTCTTTTATTAAATTGGATGCCACTGTGATTGGTGTGGAAATGTTAGGGATTATAATATCCCCTTGTGGAATTTCCCTTTAATGGTTATGTAATATCCTCCCTGTCTCTTTTCATTAATTTTGGTTTGAGGTATATTTTGTCAAATATTGGAATAACTATGTGTACTAGTTAATTTTCTGTCAACTTGGCAGAAGCTAGAGTCATCAGAGGAGGAAGCCTCAGTTAAGGAAATGCCTCCATATGATCAGGCTTCAGGTGTGCCTCTAGGACAGTTGCTTAATTAGTGATTGTTAGGGGAAGGCCCAGGCCACTGTGGGTGGTACCATCCTCCGGCTGCTAGACCTGGGTTCTATAAGAAAGCAGGCTGAACAAGCCAAGGGGAGCAAGCCAGTAAGCAGCTCCCCTCCATGGCCTCTGCATCAGCTCCTGATCCCAGGTTTCCTGCCCCATGTGAGTTCCTGGCCTCACTGCTTTTGATGATGAACTGTTATATGGAATTGTGAGTGAAGCAATTTTGGTCATGGTGTTTCATCACAGAAATAAAACCCTAGCAAGGACCCTGCCTGCTGTGTTTTTGTTCCATTTGTTTGGAATAACTTTGTCCATCCTTTAACTCTGTGGTATCATCTGTCCATGATAATGAAGGCAGTTTCTTGGAAGCAGAAGATTTACCTTATTTTCTAGTCCAATCTGTTAGTTTGTGTCTTTTTGTTGGGGGAATAAAGACAATTAATATTGAGTTATTATTAAACAGTTTATTAATTCCTGTTATTTTGCTGTTTGAGTATTGTTTTTTTAGACCTGTTTGTTAACTGTTCTGAGATTATTTAGTAGTTCTTTGTGGCCTCTTGGGTGTTGCTAATATTTCTTTCAGACTGACTTATTTCTTCTTGTAATCTCTGTAGAGCTGGCTT